ATACTCGACTGGCTAGCGTGCGGTAGGTTTAATTTGAAAACCGCTTGAAATATTATATGATAATCTAAAACCCATACTCCGCTCTTAGTTTCGACATACGATGCTCCTTTGTGTTCCTGTTGCTGCTCAGTGCCGTTTGGTGCTCCGCCTATTTCTATTTGCGGGGAGCCAAGATGGACGAGGACACGGCTGACGTGTATGGCTATTGCTTCATCTGCTTCAACACCTTGCTGGGGCTCTACATCTTCGTGTTCCACTGCATCCAAAACGAGAAGATTCGGCGGGAGTACCGAAAGTATGTGAGGCAGCATGCCTGGTTGCCGAAGTGCCTGCGCTGTTCGAAGACATCCATTTCGTCGGGCATAGTGGCGGGCAATGGACCCACAGCCGGAACACTCTGCAGTGTTTCCACCTCGAAGAAACCCAAGCTGCCGCTGGGAGTGAGCGAGGAGGCTCACGATGACCCCCAGCTGCAACCGGCGACGGGCGTGGCTGTCACAGACGATGCCATAATGGGAGCCAGCTCCGATTGTGAACTAAATGAGGCCCAGCAAAGGAGGACCCTGAAGAGCGGACTGATGACGGGAACACTGCAGGCACCACCGCAAACACTTGGGGGCCATGTGGTGCTCGAAAGGGGCAGTACCTTGCGCTCCACTGGACACGCTTCACCCACCAGTTCCGCCGGATCCACACACCTTATCTTCGCCCACAAGCAACAACAGCAGCAGCAGCAACAACCGGGACCCTTGGGCGAGTCCTACTACCACCAGCCGGACTACTACAGCTGGAAGCAGCCACCGACTGGAGCCGGAGGATTGAAGGCCCAGCGGGAGTACTACAACAATGCCGGAGCAGCCGCCTCCTCGCCGCAGCAGGCGCACGAGGTCTTCTACTGGACCCAGAAGCCGAACAGCCAGCATGGCAAAAAGAAGAGGGGTGCCGGCGGAGTTCCCGCCTCGCCGAGCGGATCCCTGCACAGTCGCACGGCCGCCGCCTCCCAGGTGCTCTTCTATCCCTCGTACAAGAAGACCAAGCCGGGCCAGCCCGCCGGCTATCCGCAGTACGCGGAGGCGTTGGACCCACCACAAGCCGCCACTGGCAACGCGGCTGCCTTCTACCAGCAGCAGCAACAGTTGCGTCGCCAGCAGCACCTTCAGCAGCAGCAGCAGCAACAACAACAGCTCTCCTCGGATGAGGAGCAGGCCGAGCAACATGCTCACCTGTTGCACCTGCAACGACGAGCTGGTGGCCAGCAACAGCTGCCCGCCCCGCCGCCGCACATGGCGCAGTACCAGCAGGAGTTCATGCAGCGCCAGTATAGAAATAAGCATTCCAACTGTGATCTGGGCATGGGCGATGCCTACTACAACCAGGGCAGCGTCGGCGGCGCGGATGGCGGGCCGGTGTACGAGGAGATCCTCAGCAACCGCAACTCGGACGTGCAGCACTACGAGGTGGGTGACTTTGATGTGGACGAGGTGTACAACAACAGCGTGGGCACCGGCGTCTTCAACAACATGCGAGCGGCGGTGGCCGCCGGCGGGAGTCGCTATGGCGGCGGCAGCCTCAGTGGCGGCAGCGTCTCGTCCAGGAGCCAGCAGCAGCAGCTCCAGAAGCAGCAGCAGCAACAACAGTCGCTGGCCCAGCAAAGATCGGCCCGACGCTGCACGGCGGATGATGACGACGACGACGACGAGGACGAGGAGGAGGATGAGGAGAGGGCAACGGCCGCGGAGCAATTGCACGACAGAGTCTGTGATGAGGATGAGGAGGAAGACGAGAGCGACTTGGAGGACGATGCTCATGGACTGCCACCCCAGAGCGATGAGCGCATGCGTCGCCTGATGGCGATGCAAGACGAGGACTTTAAGCGGCGGTTTCAGTAAGTATTTATGTCGTTTAAACTTCCTTAATTATTCTAATTCTAAAACTTAATTTTTTAAAACAATATGGCTCGTTATATTTAAAATTAGTTCTTAAAAGTTCAATAATTGCTAATTTCAAATGCTTCAAACTTTTTTGAAGACTTTTTTGAAATACACCTTTTTTGAGGTTGTTGACCTATTTAACAAAAAGATTTTAATAATTGAAATTTTTAGAATATGAGAATTTTAAGACGACTCCATTTTTATTGAAATGTGATATTCAAGATGTGTGTCAAAATTACTTGGAAACTTACAAACCGATCTTGAACTGGTTGAGCATTTTTAATTACTTTTAATTTTTGGTTAGTGAAAATCGAGCTTTTCAGTAGTTGTCGAACAAGAAAACTTGGAAATCGCCTATTTTTATATTTGCCAATGAGGGAAGCCTCATTTCTGTTGTTACACCTTTCATAATTAATAAATAATTTCCACCTCAAATAATTTAAATGAAATAACTATTATATTTTATAATTTTGTTTTATAAGAAAAATCATTATTAACGCATCTTATTCACCTATTCAGACGTCAGCTGCGTAAGCATGGAGCGCCCTTGGACTACGGATCCTTGCCGCCGGGATCGGCGCCAGGATCAGGTCCGCACCCCGAGCACAACGGTGCGGTTTTTGGGGTTAGCGGCGGCGTTGGTGAGGGCTCCATGCGTGGCGCATTCCGGCAGCAGCAGCAGCAACAGCAACAACCACTGAATGCCAAGTCGCCAGGCGCTCGTCTGGCGGTCAACGAGCTATTCGGTCACGGCATCGCCGGACCACCGCTGCCGCCGGCCAATCAGACGCCCGCGCAGAAGCGTCAGCAGCTACAGAAATTGTCACCACAGTCCACCACATCATCGTCGTCGCATACATCACACAGCAACCCCAATCCTCACCAGCTCGCCCATCCGCACCCACACCCCCATCTGCATCCCCCGCACCATCAGCAGCGCCACTTGTCGGCCATGCTCGATGAGAACAACACGGTGCGGTGCTATCTGGAACCACTGGCCAAGTGAGCCGATAGCGCAACTCCAACGGAACAGTCTTAGGCAAAAATTGTAGCTTAGGATCTCTAGCTATACCTAGTATTAGTCGTTAGTCGAAATATGGAGCATTGTGTGAAACAACATGCTGTCATGCTATACGTGCAGTGATTCGAGAATCCCAAAACTTTATGAATGTATATGAAATAACTCAAACCTAGACCATAGGCACACATCCATCCCACACACGAAGCCGTGCAAGCTTAACCAAAATACGAAGGATGTGGGGATTGGGTCCTTCGACTTGCATGCATTTTATACCAACTTGGAAATCGATATTAAATATAAATGTATGTACCATATATGTATAATGTATTGTAATACATGTCACCACATGCCATTTTTAAATACTTAAATAATAATTTAAACAACCAGAAAATCAAGTATATATATGGATGTATATGTATAAGATCTGAGAACTGTATGTACATGATATATAGAATGCAGGCGAATTATGTTTTATGTATTTTGTAAGGAATCAATTGTTTTTGATTTTCGCTGATTATGCTCGTAAGATTAATATACGCAGGCTTAAGATTTGTTTCGTGTTTCATAAACCAAAAAGAAAACCTACGTTTCGGAATTTTGTAATGTTTTGCTATCCAACTGCCGTTTTACACCTCTGAACCAAATATTCCTTCCAACAATGAAACAAGTGTAAAGACATGATTTCGAGGGAATTACAATGCCATTTTGTTATTGCATTTCATTTACGTTGTAAGCGAACCAGAGCGAAGCATTTGAAGTGAACATTTTCATCAATATAGATGCTTTAAGCACACATATAGGGGCATTTATTTTATATTTTTTGAAGAGAGTTCGTAGAATGCTTTATTATTTATACGATATAACGAGAGATTAAATAAAACGAATGCTATGAACATGTCTTGGAAATTGCATTGCAGGCACCAAACCGAAACAGATAGAGCAGCATACGGAAATACCTATATAGCAAAGAAAGATTTCAACCAAACCTCACTTGTTAACTAGGAACTAACTGAAAACTCTTTAAACACTAGCCAGCTGACATCCACACACTAAACTGTACTATCCCTACTCCCCGAATGGCATTCTCTCTAGAATTTCACGCATGTGTACAAAAACCAAATAAAATAAAGTGCAAAAAAGATGATTACCATATACTATATGTCGTACATACCAGGCCAAGGAAGCTCCAGAGGCAGCCGCCCCAGCTCGATCTAATTTGATCCGAACAGCAAGTTAAACTTGAAGAAAACCAAAGCACACAATCGATAAAGATAGTAATTAAGCACCCGCAGCATACCACACGAGTTAGTGTATAAAAAAGGAATGGGAAACCCAATATGGGGACGAGGAATACGGAATAGCAGATATTGAATGTATAGTGTTGCGCCTCCTAGTAATTTACTTATATTAAACCAGATATATCAGATACGAGTATATATATGTGAATATATATTGATGATGCAAGCCAATGCAACCCCTATTTCGTCACCACATCCTCACCAAATCTATTTGAGAGTACTTACATCTGAGATCTGAAAACTAAACCGAAAACAAGACACCCAAATCAAACTTTATGGAAAAGCCCGATGAAAATGTTAATGTACACAATTTTTTCTATTTAAGACAAAAATACAAGAAATGGATTGCATTTTAATGTAAATGGAAGTGATGTGTTTTTATGGGATATTTGGATTTCAAACATTTTATTTTTTGAATATTGATATCGGTTTATTAAAAACCCTTATTGTTTAATAAAAGCTTTTGAAAAAATATATATGCTGTATGTAGTCTTGAATTTTTTTGTTTATTTTGACACTAGCTCAATTGAAATCAACATAAATTTATATAGAGAATCTATTGTAGACATTTTTAAAATCAAATAAATATTTATTTTAATGATAATAAAACTGATTTGACAAGCATTACATTTTTTAGAAATTAATTGGTCACGACTTTGTTATCAGCGTAAACTACAAAAGTAACGAATATTTTTCAAAAATAAACCTATTTATAATTTGAAATGTATTTTGATTCTGTTGCGCAGTATTTTTCCGTTAAGCCTATACGGTCACTCCCAACCATTAGTAATCCTTCTCGCTGGCAAAACAAATGTTTATTTCGTAGTTCATTAAGATGACAGATTTCCAATGGCCCTGGGAGTACACCTTCCCCCCCTTCTTCACGTGAGTAGAGTTCAGAAGATAGCCAAGCACCCGGATAACCCCAGGCATTCAGTTTACAGCCCCACGAAGAAACCAGACTCCAGCAGCTGAAGGTCTGGACAGATCTCTTTCTAAAATACCTCAGGCACACGAACAGGTTTACGCTGAGCATCGGAGACCAGACGTCTCCGCTGTTCCACAACGAATCCCTGAAGCGCCGCCTCTCGCCGGAGCTCATCCTGGCGATCCTGGCCGAACTGGAGCGGACTGGCCATGCGAATCCGCTGGACAAGCGCCGCCAGGAGTGGCAGGTGTACTGGCACACACTCGAGGAGTACGGCAACATGGTCTACGATTGGGTGCAGGAAACGGGCCAGACGAACAGCATCTGCACGCTCTACGAGATCGCCTCCGGGGAGAACACCGCCCAACAGGACTTCCACGGCGTGGACGAGGCGGTGCTGCTTAGTGCCCTCCGATTGCTGGAGGAGAAGGGAAGGTGCGAGCTGATCGAGATGGACGGCAGCCACGGCGTTAAGTTCTTCTAAATGTCCATAGCGCTTTGTTAACTATGTATCAATCGATGCGAATTGTGTTTCCGTATATTAAAAACTAATCGAATGTAAAAATATCTTTTTGGTGGAGCCCTAATTGGTAACTTCCTATTTTTTAAATCAGCTGATAGTGAAACAGACCAAAAATGACTTTTGCATTATTAATTATTACATTTGGACATTATTATTTTAAAACGTAACAAATGCCTTCTGGTTTAATATACTATTATACTATTATTAATATAATACAATTAATTTCAGCAAGAAGGGAATCCAATTCTATTTTTAAAGCCACAACTTTAATGGTGTTAAGCTAATTACAATTCAAAGATCATTTTCGAAATGGGAAACATTTTTTTTATAACCAGGTATTAAAATAGGTTTTATGTCCAATAACCAAAAATTATTAAAAAATTCGAAATGGAATTCATTCTTAAAGTTTTGTAACGCTAAAATCAAATAATAGTATCACGTAAATTTAACCAATTTCAACAAATTTCAAAATTTAATAGGACCGTATATCTCCACCCATTCACAATAACGGAAGTCAGAAACGGACGAGTTGGCAGCCCGACATCATATTTTGGTTGACCGCCGCAAAGAAAGTAGTTTTTATACTCAAAGTACGACATAATGGTAAGCGTAACCAAGCCAATTCATAAAACTAATAATTAAAGAGATCTTCGTAGAGCATGAACGACTTAATGCGCGCGCTGGACTGGTTAAATGTGGAATCGACTCTGCAACACGCGGCCCTGGCGTCCGAGACGTGCACAGGCAGAACTTTGGGCGAGGATCGCGAACCCTTGTGGGTGGAGGGCAGAAAACAAAGTCCAAAAGCAACCGTAATAAAGGAGGAACTCCCAGATATTAAGGAGGAGGCGCCCCAGCCGCCAGTATCCGTCTTTGAGCCCAGTATATCCTGCTTTCCCGACGTACAGGCCATCAACGCCAGCATTGTGAGGCGAGAGCTTGCGGAGGAAGGCAAAAGGTGCGTTCGCCAACAGTTGAAGGCCCTCAAGGACAAACAGGATGCACTGCGGCAGTCACGCAAATCCTTGCAAAAGGAGGAGGAGCGCCAGCGAGACCAGTTGCAGCAAAGGGCGCTGCGGGAGCGCAACGAAATCCTGCTAGTCCAGAAGGCCGACCAGATGACCAAGGCCCAACTGGAGGACCAGCATCGCGAGCAGTTGGCCCTGCGCCAACAGACTGACCAAAAGCTGCACAAACTGGCCCTGGAGGGCGTGTCCCGCTGCCAAAGGAGATTTAACCAGAAGTACGAGGGTATTGCCAGGATACTTCTCTCGCTTGACAGAGAAACGGTCCAGGTGTGCTCCACCCAGAACACACAGCTCAAGGAGCTGGGCCAGAAGTTCGAACAGCTCGTCAGCACGGTGAAAATGGGCAAGTGCGAGATGCAGAGCCAGTTCCTGTGCTCCATCCTTAAGGCGGAGGAGTGCTGCAAGAGCCTAGATGCCTTGGAAATGGACATTATAAAGCAGCTGGCCGAGTTCTCCGAGCAAATCCAGCAGCAACTTAAGATGGAGGCGGACAAGAAGCTGGAAGAGGAACGTCAGCGGCAGCTAGAGGAGGAAAAGCAGCGACAGGAGAAAGAGTTGTCGGAGGCCAAGGAGAAGCAGCAACTGGCCGAGGCTGCCAAGGCAGAAGCGGCCAAAGCTCCTGCTCCCCCGGAAATAAAAAGCCAAGACGTGTCACCTGCCACCACTGCAGCCTCATCTTGTGTCCACCCAGACCGACTGACGTTCTACAACGAAATCATTTCGCTGTATCAGTCCAAAGTGGATGCAGTAAAGCCGTTGCAAACGGAGGAGTCGCTGAAGCAGTACCGCACCGGCTGCCAGAGAGCCATCAATCTGCCCCTTAACGCCATTTCAGCAGTCAGTCCGCAGCATCTGGGCCAGAACTTTGACAAACTATACAGCTTCTTTGCCGGGCAGCCTGTTAAAGTTATGAATGGCTCTACCATTACCATTAACGACCATCCGCTCGCCCGAGACTATTGCATGCTTCTGATGGCCAAGAAGTTTGTCAGTCAATCGGAGACCGCCATCTCCAGTAATCCGCAGGCGGCGTTTCCCTTCGCCTCAGTTATTATCACTTTCTGGAAGCTGCTGCCCGACTTTGGCAAGGTCTTCCTGGCCTACATGTACAAGGAGTCGCCCTTTTTGGTGCCCTATGTAATACCCCAACAGCAAGGACAGACCCCGGAGCAGTATCTGAAGTCCATAGGCTATCGGCTGTCGGACAAAAACGAGCTGGAGAAGCCAGACATTTACTTGAAACGACAGACGGGAGTCGCTCGCCTCTACGCAGCTGTGATCATCACCCAAGGACGCAAGGGAGCCGGGCCGGAACAGTGCTTCGAGCTGGAGGAGGGCTGGCTTTGGCTATCCCATATGGTGAACGTAAAGCCGATCCCCGACATCAGTGCCACCATGATCATGGAGATGCTGCAGACCCTCGGCTACGAGCTGTTACGCAGCTACGGCAAGCAGTTTATGAAGCTGCTGATCTACATTCAAAATATCTACATGCCCCAGCTGGCGGCCTATGACGAAGGCGGCCCGAAAACACGGCTGGAAATGCTTCTGGCCAAGTTCCTTCGTGAACGTCAGATCCCCCAGGCCATCGGAGTTTTGCCGCCAGGCTTTTGGTAGTCTTACGACTTAGTATATTAATATTAAATAATTTAAAAAAATTTTAATTTAAGGAATGTTCCTAGTAGTCATCAGTTGGTTTAAAATATACTCAATGAGACAAAGACAACGATCCATTTCCAGAAATGCAACAGTTAAAAGCCACAACTTTATTTATTGAAAAGTAGCTAAAAGGCAGAAATCATTTAATGAACTCAATTCAAACAAAGTACATGGACGACTAGTCGTCGTCCTCATCATCCAGATCCAAGTCATCCAGTTCACCGGCCAGATCAACAAAGAGATCCTTGTTGATGGGGGCAGCATCGTTGGCGGGTGCAGACGACGAAGGGCCATCCTCCTCGGCCGCTGCGTCCTCTGCTGCGGCTGTTTTGGCTGCTTCCGTGGCCTGATCCAGTAGTCGGTTGGTGGAGGCAATGGTGCCCGAGCCGTCCACCTCCTTGGCAGCCAGCGACAGAGCGGCCAGATCCAGTTCCTTGAACTCCACGGCATTGTCGTCGTCGTCGTCCTCTCGCTTGTAAATGTCGAAGGCGGCGTCGCCCTCCTCCATGGGACCGTCGTCGACCAGGTCGGGATTGAAGCTGAACATCTCACGACCCGAAATGCCGAACTGTTTGCCCTTGCTGAAGTCGTTCTTCTTGCGCTCTTCCTCAGCGATCAGCTTGGCCTTCTTCTCGGACAGCTTGCGCTTCTTCCAGGCGAGGAAAGACTCCAGGGTTACGCGAGTCTGGTTGGATCCCAGGGCGGCGCGCTCCTTCTCGATCAGATCCACCAGCGAGATTTCCGTGGGCTTCTCCTCCTTCTTCTTGTCGCGCTTCAGCACATAGCCGGCTGGCAAGGCGTGCCGGTAGATGCACTTGCCGCCATTGGGGCACTCCCAGAACCAGCCGTACTTGGACTTCTCCACGGCCTCCAAGAAGAACTTGCAGATCTGTGGGAGAGTGAGTGGTTAATTGGGAATTTCGAGGACATGTTGAGTGTGAAACCCACAATATCCGTGGTGGGACGCTGCTTATCGCCGGAGCTCTTCTTCTCGACAACCTCCTTGAGCTTGGCATCGTCCCAGTTGGTCATCGGATCGTCCTCGTCGCGCATGTCCACGTATATGGAGCGCTTCTCCACCTTGTTCTCCTGGGACAGATCGTGGGAGAACTTGCACTTGTCGCCTTTGGTGCACAGACCCTGTTTGAAGAATGCGCAGACCACCGACTTGGGATCGGTGCCCTTTTCCACTTTCTGAGTCTGCACCGGCTTGAAGATCAAGGCCATCTCGCGCTGATCGGCCAGCTTCTTGTCCTTCTCCTCCTTGCGCTTGTCGCCATCCTGACGAGGATGCTGGCCGCCAGACTGCACTTGCTTCTGCACCTGCTGGATGAACTTCTGCTGCTTGTTGCCCTTCTTGTTCTTCAGTCCGAATGTCTTGTCCTGCCGGTGGAATAACATATGAGTTCTTCACTGATCATATCGAATTTCTCCCCGCCGGGCTTCCGCATCACGGAATTTCGATGGGGAGAGGGGCTCGCCCATCGGCTTCCCGGATTTGCAGCCTACCTCAATGACTTTCTCCTTTTTTTTCTGCTCCGTCTTCTTACTTGGACCTGGCGGCGCCTTTTTCGGGGGCATCTTCGGGCGGGACACGGGAATTTATCAACTCAAAACTAGAAATAAAGTCGAACCAAAGTTTTTTTGCACAACCACGCTGGAACAAGAGGCAGTGCCAGTGTGGCCAGAGCTGTACGCCAATCAAATACTAAACAGTGATAACATGACAAATATTAATTATAACCTTTACACATTATATTGTAATGAAAATAAATTGTTTAACTATTTTTGCAAACTTAAATATTACGATAAAATACAAAAGTCTGATGGTTGATGACTTTTCTAAGGGGGTCGAAACTTGGCTTTTGGTTTTAGCGCATTTTTAAACCAAATTCAAAATTTGAATTTATATCAAAAATACAACAAATATGAGAAAATATTTAATATCAAATAATAAAAATAAAAATAAAAGGAAAAATTACCAATGCAAGTTTTAATTAAAGAGTTATGGTCTTGTGTAATTTCTGAAACCTTTGCTAATTTTACTGTGCTCAACCGATTCAACCGATTCATCTGTTGAATAATTATATATTTATAAGATGATCGAAAAACATTTATTTTTTCTACCCTTTTGTTTTTGTTTACTTTACAATGGGCCTGTTTCAGCCCCTTTTTTATTATTATTTGTTTAAGCCCACTTCAGCGCACATGTTTAAGTTGTATATATTTCAATTATCTGCTCTGGTTCCCCTACGCCAATACTGAAATGGGTTTCAAAGGTCTTTTTACTCAAACACACATATGCTTTCGTACACAGAAAATAATTATGTGAACGTGGTTTTGAATAATAAATAGACATTAGAGCTCTATAATCTGCAATTAAAACAAAACCCAAGATAAAATATTTTCAATAAAAACGAATTTAAAATGTATATAACAACCTTTTCGTAAAATTAATTTATTAATTAAATAAACACTTTATTGGAAAATTATAAAAGTAAAAGGTGCATTCTTGTTAAAATAATCAAAACTTAAACGAATTCGTTAAAATTTTATTAAGTTTTAATCAGTATAAATAGTATCATTTAAAAATATTCTGCAATTAATGGATAATTTCGAATATATAAACAGAAATAACATTTTGGCATTCCTTTGGATTTTATATCTTTTAAGATTATTTTCAAAATCAGAATGAAATCTATTTTTCTTTTAAATACAATTTATATTAAAAAATATAAAAAACGTATATTATGAAGTAAAATCATATCTGATCTTATTTTCCCACGATCGAAATGAAATTATCCTTAATCGTATTTGAGGATCTTATCTGAATATATTACGATTAAATGAAACATTTTAAGGATCGGATATTTAATGTTTTTTTTTAGATCTTACTCTCCTTTTTATAGTCAAAAACTTGTGTGTTATAAAATGAAAATAAAAGATTGAAAAGATTTGATGGTATAATAAATACTTCTTTCATAAAAAAATATATCTGATCTTATTTCAAATACCCAAGATTGAATTGATCCTACATAACAAAAATTATCAATTAAAATATGATACCCCATCGATACGATCTTCGATCTGATCTTATTTCTTTCGGTGCACCCTCATGCCCACCAACACATGCACGGGTGATCCAGCGAGCGAGCGAGAGAGCAGCGGCGTGTCTCTTCGTGGGTGGCCCTTAATTCGTCGTCATCTTCTTGGGTGGTCTCTATTAGCCGGCCTGCTCGCACCCTCCCTTTGCTCCTTTGAGTGCGAGCGAGTGCGCTGGATCTGGATGTGCCCCCATTGATCATTTTCTCGTTTGATAGTGCGTGACGTCTCTGGGTAGGCCGTCTCGCTTGCACTAATTTATGCCGCCCGAATGGGGCGCCCATTTTTTTGATCCTTCGTCTGCGGCTCACTCGCGCTCATTTATTCGAGCATAAAATTAGCAATTATTTGTTTTTCTTGCGGGTCCGTCGTCTTTATGTTCTTTTTCTGTGTGCTCCTGGGCGGTCGTTCTGTGTGGTCCCCATTCGCGATCGGATGGAATCGTGGGGCATTATTTGCTTCTGCTTTTATGGCGCGACTCGGCATTTTCGGTTTTCTAGGAATCTGCGGATCCTAGTGCGCAAAAAATTCGTAAAGCTTTATAATCATCGTTCCGAGGAAAGCGAAATTATGTTTTTTTTTGGGTTGGGCTTGAAAATGCGAATGAGTTTAGGGTTTTGGACACTAAGCACACACACATCAAAAAATGGGTTAACTAAAGATTACATACACTACAAGAAATATAAAAAGAAAATACATATTTCATTTTATATCGATTTGATTCACAGTTTCCAAATATTGTTTTTTTTCTTCAATTCTCTTATATTTTTACCTGAGTAAGCAAATATTTTAATATTTATTTTGAATGTGTAAAGTTCGCATTTTCTAAGAGTATTTTTAAGTTTTAATACTAAAGACTTTATAAATATATAAAAATGTATGAGCACATCTAATCACAAATGATAAATATTACATAAAAGTTTGAATCCTTAAATTTATATGTATTATTTAATTTATTATTACATAATTTCAATACTTGCATATTATAAAATTAATAGCAATAAATTATTCGATTTGGATTAAAATATTTTAATTAAATGATGAATGTAAAACGTTTTCAGTAAGAAAAAGTGTATTAACTTTTAACATGGAATATAAGTAAAATAATTTACCAAGAAATTTGGTTATCTGTGGTTTTGGCTTAATTTTACAGGTATTTTTAGTGAAAGTTCTATGAAGATAAGTAACTTTAAATTAAATAGGATCAGCAAGTAAAGTACCATCAAGTTGTGCTTCACTGTAATTGGTCCAAACAACTTAGAACTTGCCCGGCGGCAGCAATAAAATTATGACAAGCACCAGCAGCAACATCAAATGTTGGCAACAATTATTGTGTTGTTGACAGCAAGATAGATAGCAATAATTTGCATCACCATCGCTGAGGAAACCGAACAACCAACAGCAATTGTTTGCGGCTGTTGGGCGTGTAATTTACAGCGCCAAGATCAAAAAACCAGCTGCAAGTTGCTGGCGTAACAAAAGGGGAGCAGCAGCAGCAGCAGCAACATGTTACTTTTGACAATATAACGCAGCGGCGTGGCGACAAGCAACTGGGAGCATCTCGGATCGGAGATACATATACACACATTTATCCCCCAGACGGAGGCATTCGTACTTCACGGTGGTCCCGCCATCTCCATCCCAAGCTTAGTTTCTGCTGTCAATCTGTGGCAAAAGGCAAATGCTGCTACTGTTTGCCGCAGACACAGACACACTCGTATAATTGCATATAGCGCCAGTTGAAGTTCCGGTCGGTTGGGTTTTTTTTTGCCCGTTGCACGCGCTTTCTTTTTTGTGCGGCGCCGCCGGCAGACGGGGCTGCACTGAGAAAAATAATCACAATTGGTTCCAGCATTATTAAGCGAGAGGAAGGTGAGTTTGTTGCAGATTTATATTCTTGTTTAAATAATATTTGTTTTGCCTTAAAATTAGAAGCTCCCGTTCTCCGCCAAAAACATGTTGTTTT